ACGCTGTCACTACTAGTAGAGATTATTATTAGATGTTTATCTACTACTGGCGAACATCGTTTAATGATTACTCGAGAGAATGCTCACAAAAGTTATAATTGCCATCACCGTGCCATTCAAAGACATAACGTTGTAATTTAATTCGCTGCAAGTAACCAAGACTGCCTTGGTGTGTGACACCCTGATTATTTATCATACGTCGTTGTAAATGAGATCTTCTTACTTGGTTATACTACGATTTACTGTTCTACAATTTAAAAAAGTAATGCAATGTAAATTGTATGCGACGTTAAGCGGAACGAACAAATAAACGAATAAACGAATAAACAGTGATATATAGGTCGACGAGGGTGGATATTTTTGAGTGTCGCTGCCGCCTCGGGAAATTAATAAGTCGATGCATGATGGCAGGGGTGGTAATCGTGCGTAATTATTTAGCTGGTACAGCAGAAAAGGAACGATAGGTTCGATGCACGACAGAGGTGTGCTATATTAAATGCGTACACTAACTACCTGGGCTACGTGATGAAGCATTCCATTGCACATGACTTAACATCACGACGATCGTCGACAGTTTCATAGAGGGAATTTCATAGCTCTCCATTAGCTCCTTTGCCAGCACGATAATAGCTCTTTGATTACAGAGACGCAAATGCATTTAGCCCGGCGTATACCTACAGGCTAGTTCACAAGATTCGATACGATACCAACCGCACCACCAATGACTAATCATTCCTCCAATTTTTATGCTTTGCTCCGTGCTTCCGTGCATCACGATTAAATCATTCCTCTCACCCTCGGTCTGCTTTCCGTCCTCTCTCGTTGAAATGGTCTTTTCAGAATCTACATATACACAACGTTTCAACTTCTCCAATTATTGTTATCATCATGTGTGAAGTTTCGTTGCTCAGGAAGTTGAATATCGTTGTTATTATTCGTGTATATTTATATTTCGATGTTTTGTTCCATGTCCGCCGCGATTAATTTCACATTAGCACTTACCATATCTTTCAGCCACGTTTTATTTTGCATTCTCTCTCGTTGAAAAAGGTCCTTCCCAATTATCATTATGTATGAAATTTCGTTTCTGAGAATATCGTCATCATTGTTATTGTTACTCGTGTATATTTTAACGTTCGATCGATTCTATATCATCGTTTACGATCATTTACGTATTTCGGATTAGGCGGTAAACTCGCTTCGAGTAGCGAGAGTCCAATTGTGCGCAATTTCACGCAGCCGCAGATTCCCAAAATAATCTATGCCAAATTCATTTGTCACGGTGAATTATCAGTTCATTTCAGTTGGAAATTTGATATAACGGCCAAAATGTGATTTCCTGCCGGTGTTCATTTCTGATTTGACCTCCAACTTTATTTAAACGCCGAAACAGGAATGCATTTCGTTCATTGTTAGTATTGATTGGCCGATCGCGTTAATTAACGTAATATTCGTAATATTATAAATATAGTAAAAAATAGATACAATGAAATCGTAATTATAAACGAGGTTAAATAATGCGGGGCAAATACATCTTTCTCGCGATACAACCACCTTGCATGCGTGCTTGCATTCATACTTATTGACCTGTTGACATTCTGATATTTCACAGTACAGTGACAAAAATTGAATATACTTGGAACATGGCGTTTCTCTACATCGATCGAATAAAGAGAGATTTTCAACGAACCGATCACTGTCTTTCACGTAGAATGACTTGCAGAAAATGGTCCCCGGATATTGTCATAAAACGTCTGAATGGCCAGACGCCCTTTGACGACCACCGCTGCATCTCCGAAGAGTTTCCGGCTAAAAGATCCTTCATGAATCTCCTGCCCAAAATACCGAGAATTTTCACGATCGGCTTGAAATTGGATCGCAAAGACGACAGTGGTAAAAATGCTTGCCAATTCTGGAACATTGCTAGTGTGAAGAGTTTTTTCAAACAGTATTTCAGCTTTATTCGCAGGTATATTCTCAATCGGAAATTAATTTTGAAACTTTATATATATACACGTTAAACTACCTTACATATATATATA